TTTGGAGGTTTTTGATTACTGATTCAATTTCATTGCTGGTAATTGGCATGTTCAAATTTTCTATTTCTCCCTGCTTCTGTTTTGGGAGGTTATATGTTTCTAAGAATTTATCTATTTCTTCTAGAGGTTATCTAATTTGTTGGTATATGATTTGTTACACACATTCTCTTATAAACCTTTGTATTTCTGTGGTATTGGCTATTATATCTCCTCTTTCATTTCTGATTTTATTTTAGCTCTTTTGGGGGTGGGGAATGAATGTAACTAAAGGTTTATCAATTTTGATCTTTTCAAAAAACCAACTCCTGGTTCACTGATCTATTGTTTTTTCTAGTTATCTATATCATTTATTTCTGCTCTAGTCATTATTACTTCCTTCTGCTAGCTCTGGGTTTTGTTGTTCTTTTTCTAGTTCCATTAGGTGAAAGTTGATTATTTGAGATTTTTCTTTCTTCCTGAGGTAGGCCTGTATTGCTATAAATTTCCCTTTTAGAACAGCTTTTGCTGCATCCCAAAGATTTTGGATTGTTGTGTTTTCATTTGTCTCCATGTATTTTTTTATTTCCTCTTTATTTCTTTGTTGACCCATTGATTGTTTAGTAGCACATTACTTAATGTGGTCTTTCCAGATTTTTTTCTTGTGGTTGATTACTAGTTTCATAGCATAGTGGTCAGAAAAGATGCATGGTATGACTTCGATCTTTTTGAATTTGTTGAGGCTTGTTTTGTGGCCTAATATGTGATCTATTCTGGAGAATGCGCCATGTGCACTTGAAAAATGTATATGCTGCTGTTTTAGGATGGAATGTTCTGAATGTATCTGTTAAATCCATCTGGCCCAATGTGTCATTCAAAGTCACTGTTTCCTTGATGATTTTCTGTTTGGATAATGTATCCATCAATGTAAGTGAGGTGCTGTAGTCCCCTACTGCTATTGTATACTACTATCAACTACTTCCTTTATGTTTGTTACTAGCTGCTCTGTGTATTTGGGTGCTCCCATGTTGGGTGCATATTTACAATTGTTATTATCTTCTTGTTGGATTATTTCCTTTATGATTATGAGAATGTCCTTTGTCTCTTGTTACAGTCTTTGTTTTAAAGTCTATTTTGTCAGAACTATTGCTATTCTGGCTTGCTTTTCACTTCCATTTGCATGATACATGCTTTTTCATCCCTTCACTCAATCTGCATGTGTTTTTAGGTCTAAAATGAGTCTCTTGTAGGCATTATAGAGATAGGTTTTGGTTTTTTATCCATTTCATCACCCTGTGTCTTTTTATTGGAGCATTTAGTCCTTTAACATTTAAAGTAATTATTGATGGGTATGTACTTTTTGCCATTTTGTTACTTGCTTTATGGTTGTTTTTGTAGTTCTCCTTTGTTCCTTTCTTCTCTTGCTCTCTTCTCACATGGTTTGTTGGCTTTCTATAGTGATCTACTTGGATTCCTTTCTCTTTATGTTTTGCATATCTATTCTGGTTCTTGATTTGTGGTTATCATTAGGTTTGTGAATAACATCTTCTGCATGTAGCAGTCTATATTAAGTTGTTGGTCACTTAAATTTGAACACGTTCTTTACTCCTCCCTCCCACCCCCACATTTTAGGTACATGGTGTCATACTTTATATCCTTTTATTTTGTGAGTCCCTTGACTGATTTTTATAGATATACTTTATTTTTACTGCTTTTGTGCTTACCTTTTTTACTCTTTATGATCTTTTCTTTCCACTCAGCAAATTGCCTTTAACATTTCTTGTAGAGCTGATTTAGTTGTCATAAATTCCTTTAACTTTTGTTTTTCTGGGAAACTCTTTACCTCTCCTCCTACTCTGAATGATAGCCTTGCTGGTTAGAGTACTCTTGGCTGCAGATTTTTTCCTTTCAGCACTCTGAATATATCATGCCACTCCCTTTTGGCCTGCAACCTTTTTACTAAAAAATTAGCTGATAGCCTTATGGGTTTTCCTCATACGTAACTGCTTTCTTTTCTCTTGTTGTTTTTAAGATTCTCTCTTTGTGGTGCCTGGATGGCTCAGTCAGTTAAGTGCCTGATTCTTGGTTTTGGCTCAGGTACTGATCTCAGGATAGTGAGATCAAGCCCATGTCAGGCTCTACATTGAGCATGGAACCTGCTTAAAATTCTCTCTCCCTCTGCCCTTCTCCTGGTGCTCACTTGCTCTCTCTAAAAAATAGTAATAGGGGCACCTGGGTGGCTCAGTTGGTTAAGTGTCTGCCTTCAGCTCAGGTCATGATCCCAGGGTCCTGGGATCAAGCCCCACATTGGGCTCCTTGGTCAGCGGGAAGCCTACTTCTCCCTCTCCCTCTGCCTGCTACTTTCCCTGCTTATTTATGTGCTCGCTCACTCACTCTCTCTCTCAAATAAATAAAATCTTAATAAAATTCTCTATGACTATTCTTTGCCATTTTATTATTATGTGTCTTGGTGTGGACCTCCTTGGGTTTTGTTGGGGTCCCTCTGCTTCCTGGATCTGGATTTGTTTCCTCCCCCAGATTTAGGGAATTTTCAGTTGTAATTTCTTCAAGTAAATTTTCTGCCCCCTTTTTCTCCACTTTCTGGCTCTCTATAATGCAAATGTTATTATGTTTGATGGTGACACTGAGTTCCCTAAGTCTCTCTCCGTTTTTTTTTTTTCTCCCCCTCTGTTCAGGTTGATTGCTTTCCATTACTCTGCCCTCCAGGTCGCTGATCTGCTTCCTCTAGTCCATGTATTCCCTCTAGTGTATTTTTAATTTCATTTATTGAGCTCTTTATTTCTAATTGGTTGGTTGTTTTTTGTCTGTTGAAGGTCTCGCTGAGGTCCTCCACTCTTTTCACCAGTCCATGGAGTGGCTTTATGACCATTATTTTAAATTCTTTATCAGGGATATTATTCTTCATTTTTGTTTAGGTCTCTTGCTTGTGATTTTGTTCTGTTCTTTCATTTGGGACATATTCCTCTCCCCTCATTTTGTCTAACCCTCTGTGTGTTTCTGTGTGTTGGGAAAGTCAGCAAGGTCTCTTGCTCTTGAAAGTAGTGGCCTAATGAAGATGTCCTGTAGTGCCCTGCAGTGTCCCCATTCACCAGGATCAGTACTTCAGGAGTATCTCCCATGTGCGTGTTTTTTATGACCTACTGCTGTGGATGAGCTGCTTTTGCCTTCAGTCCAGTGGTCTGCAATGGCTTTCTTGGCCTATTGTGAGCAGGATTTGGTCTCTGTGGTGGTAGCCAGTCTGGGCCTGCCTTGAGCTGAGTCAGATCAGGCATTTGACAGAAATGCATTAACATCGAACTGCAGGGTACTTTCCCTGTGTTGTTCCTTAAGATTTTATTGGTGGGTGGAACCTGTAGTCAGACCAGATGTCTGCCCCCAGCCTACTGCTGGGGCCAGTTTGGTATGCATGGTTATCTTCCCCTCTCCCCAGGGCAGGAATCACTTTGGATTGGTGCTGGTCCCTTTCAGGGCAGCTTACACAGTGCCAGGTTTGTGGCACCACTTTGGCTGGGCTCTGGCCAAGGTCATATTGGAGGGGGCTGATCAGCAGGAGAACCTGGTGCAGGTGTGCTGTAGGAGGGAACACGGAGTGCAGGCCGGGCTGGAGGGGGCATGTCTGCAGGAGAACCTGGGGATCATTTCACTGTTAGCAAGTTAGATAGCACATGTTGGCACTGTGCTGGTTCCCTCGGGTGTCTATGTGTCTCGGCTGAGGAGCAGGGGAGGGAAATGGTGCCACATGCCCCTTTGTTCCTGGAACTTTCAGCACATGCTCGCCCATATACCCCAGGCATTTTTCAAACTGCTGCTTCTATGTTGTATCTCCACAGGCTGTTTGTTGTGCTGTCTCTATAAGGGCAAGGACTGAGTTTCCTCTCACCTCCTGCCTCTCCCAGAGCCAAGCCCACGGATTTTTAATGTTCCAGGTGTTAAGCACTTCTGCTTGTAACAAATCATGAAATTATGCCCGGCTGGTTTTCAAAGCCAATTATAGGTATTCATCTTCCCTGTGCCTGGGGTGTTTGGTCGCCTGTGTGTTTCCCCTTTCTATGTCTGTGGCATTCCTCCTTCCTGCAGACCCATTTAGCTCCGGACTATGTCTCTGCCCTTCCTACCCTCTTTCATGTGGCCTCTTCCCTACATTTAGTTGTGGAGTTGGTTCTGCCAGTCTTCAGGTTGTTTTCCGATTTACACCGATGTGGTATTATCTAGGTATATCAGTGGGATGAGGTAAACTAGGGTCCTCCTACTCTGCCATCTTCCCCAGAAGTCCCAATACTTTTAAGTTAGGACTGCCAACGTGTGCAGCATTCGAATACTCAGACGTCCCTCTGGAAAATTGGGGGTCACAAAATCAGGCCAGGATTGCTAGACTGACCAAAAGATTGCCAACTAACCAGTTTACTTAATCATTTTATTATATTATCTCCATAATATAATTGTTTATAATAATAAATATAATAATATGCTCCATATGAGCCCCTGGGTTAGACACTGAGGAGTTGGTCATAATAAACAAAAAAAAAAGTGCTACTTCCCTGGAAAAACTCAGGGTCTGCCGGGGTGACAGATATACACACCATGATCACATGGGGAAAACTAGGACAGCATGGTAGAAGGGCACTTATATCTGGCCCCAAATGAGAACTATCGCTTATTGAGCACCTACTAGGTGCCAGACACTGTCTTTATTCCTCTCAAGACCCTCGCCCTCTTTACAGATGAGGAAATTGAGAGGTAGATAGTTCTCTAACACTGTGTCTTAGTAGCTGGTATTCAAATTCACATCTTTTGACTATTCATGCTCTTCACACAAATCCATGCCACCCAACCTCAGGGCATGCCTGGGCATTCGTCTGAGCCATGGAGGTGGTGGTTGGGATGGCACAGCCTCTTCTCCTGACTCAGCCTGACCCTGGCATGCAGTCACAGAGGAGGAAGAAGACATGCAAACCTGCTGAGTTGTCCTCATGCCTCTGTTTTCCATGTCTGTCTTCCCTCAGCCCCCAAATCAGCAGTCTTAGAAGAAATGCTTCACAACTTAGATTTCTGTGACATTTTGGTGATTGGAGGGGACCTGGACCCAAGACAGGAATGCTTGGAGCTCAACCACAGTGAGCTCCATCAGCGACACCTGGATGCCACCAATTCCACAGCAGGCTACTCTATCTATGGTAAGACCACACTCAGCCCCTTAACTGCGCTCTCATCACTCTCAGGCTGGAGTCATGAGTGTGATGGTGCTCTGTCACCTGTGGGGTCAGGTAGGGACCTTTGACCTCAGAGCATGGACTTCTAGCCCCTCTGTCAGTGAGCTACTTCAGCATCTTGAGGACCTCTTCTGCAGAAAGTAGGTGGATGCTTTCTCTTATAATATTTGACCTCAGCAAATATAGCATTTGACAGGCTGAGGCCATTCTGTTCAGAGTCCAATGTATCTGGAACTCCTTTGGGTCAGTTCAATTGGCTCCTTAGAATTCTTGTATCCATGCATTGTCTTCCCCTAAACATCTCAAGCTCTTACCCTGGACAAATTCAGGAGAACCACAAGTCCCAGAAGCCACATCCTGTATCCCCCATCTTCTACCTTCTTATGACAGGTGTGGGCTCCATGAGTCGCTATGAGCAGGTGCTGCATCACATCCGCTACCGCAACTGGCATCCAGGTTCCCTCGAGACCCGGAGGTTCAGAATCAAGTGCTCAGAACTCAATGGACGTTATACCAGCAATGAGTTCAACCTGGAGGTGAGTGGGTCCTTCCATCATTAGGGAATTTCAGAGTTATCCACTCGTTCCTCATTCATTTGGGTCCACCTGCCACCCTGGTCAGCAGCACCTCTCCCTGCTCTTCCTAGGTCAGCGTCCTCCATGAGGCCAGAGTCTCAGACAAGGAGCATGTCAACCACCTTATTGTGCAGCCTCCCTTCCTGCAGTCTGTCCACCACCCTGAGTCCCAGGGTAGCATCCAGCACAGTTCAGGTAGGTGGCCTGGGAGGAAGGACCTTAGGCTATCAGGCGGTCACTGTGATTCAAGACCATCCACTAACAGGTATGGTATGGCAGCCACAGGTGCCCAGAACTGGAGGGACCCAGGAATGGGAAAGCTGTGGGCCCTGCCTCTGAGGTACTCGCAGCCTCAGTCAGGGGCTAGGTAGGGAAAGAAGTTACGATATAACAGAGGTTAGTACAGAGTGCTAGGGCAAAATCTTCCAAGTCCTTTGAGGCCTAACTCAGAGCCACATCCTGTGCGAAGCTTTCGCTGAGCCCCTTCAAATGTGCCCTCTCGCTCTCACACACGCACACGTGCACACCATATTGCAGTCTCCCACCCTTACTTCAATTCTAGTCTTGCCATTTGTATTACTGTCTGGTGGATGCCGTGTCTGTCCCTCTGAAATTCTAGTGCCTGGCTCTCAGTGGAAGCTGCCCCAGAATTAGAGGGGAAAGCAAAAGATAGAAGAGAACATCCATTCACCATTTGATTTATTCCTCACAAGTACCCATTATAGAGATGAAGAAAATGAAGCCCAGACAGGGTGAGATGCTGGCCCAGAGTTCTACAGCTGAGAAGTGGTAGGGCAGATTGTAACCTACACATGGATGTTTCATTCACACTCCATCCCAAGACTGAGCTAGTCCTTCTGTTCACCACGTCATGTGGATTCCTTCCTTGTTCCAGTGGTCCCAAGCATCGCCACAGTGGTCATCATCATCTCCGTGTGCATGCTGGTATTTGTCGTGGCCATGGGCATGTACCGGATCCGGATAGCCCACCAGCACTTCACCCAGGAGACAGAGGCTGCCAAGGAGGCTGAGATGGATTGGGACGACTCTGCGCTCACTATCACAGTCAACCCCATGGAGGTGATCCTCATGCAGGAGCTGGGATCTTGGGGCAGTATGCTTCCCCTCCCCCAGCTCCATCTTCCCTGTGCTGGAAGCCCAGCCCCACTGACCCTTGCCTTCTCTGAGCACCTTCAGCCCACTCAACCTGCATGGACCATACTTTCCCACCAGCTGCATTCACTGATTAAAAATGTGAATTGCTCTCACCCTACAAACAGAACCAGACATTTCTTAAGGCAAGCAGCCATGTGGTGTCTATCCCTTGCCTCCCCCATAGTATTTAATGCAGAGCTAACAAAGACTCAGTATTGAATTTTTTGATTAAGTGAGCTCTGCAGGCATGGAGCAAAGCCATCTAATTTACACCGTTAAAGGTTCAGAACAGGTTAAAACAAAAGCACAACAGCAATACCTGCCATTCACTGAGCCCCCATCATGTCAGACACTGCACGGGGTGCTCTTTGTACACCACCCCATTTAATCTTCCCAACCCCCTGTGAAATAGAGGTTCTCATCCTCAAAGTGCTCAAACTTCTCCAATATTCAAGTCAAGGTTGCTGGATCCTAAAGTCATCTCATTTCAGTTAGCCAGCAACCTCCAGCATCCACCCATGAGGGTCTAAGGCCCCAGCTCTAGACATACGAGTATCAAAGTTCTACAAGTGCCCTTTGGGCTGCCCATGGTTTCCTCGGTGGTGGTAGAGGCAGGAGTAGAAAAGCAGAGGAAAATCAGGAGTCACTGAGGAATGAACATGGTCCCCCTGATATCCTAACCAGCGTGCCAAGGTAGCTCAGCTTCTCCTAGCATAGGGTGTAGGTATGGTGCTAAGCACTCCACTGTGGGGACACCAGCATTTCCACCCTCAGAGAGCTAGCAGTCTGAGTCCTGGGCACAAGTGTTCTTACCGAGGGCTAACGTGCTGATGCCAATGGTCAGTGAAGCAGGACTAGGGAGAGCCATCGAGGCTGGAGTGTTCAAGAATGATTTCCTAGAGGAGGTTAGCCTAAGGGAGGCCTTGAAGAATGGGTTAAGATGGAAGGGAGGGGTGGCAGGCAAGGTAGAAAAGAAGCCGCTCCAGGGAGGGGATGCAACCATGCAAGGGCATACATCTTTTATGGCTGTTTCATCAACTCAAGACATAAATCCAGAACTAAGATTTTGCTAGAGTCACCAAAAAGCTGGCGGGGGATGGGGCAGGAATGGAACTGGAAAAGAGTGGGGTTGAGTTTGAAGACACAAGCCTCAGCCACTGAGGGGAGGCATAGAAAATGAGGACCATGAACTTTCCCTCCCGAAGGAGTATTTCTGAGAAGCAGCATACCTGAGTCTTGGCTTAGGAGGCCTTCTGCTCCCAGAGACTATGATGTCACCTGGGACCGGGCTGTATGCTTCTCCGTGAGAGAATAGCATTCGAGCTAACACTGAAGACGGGGAAAGCTCCATATAGACAGGCTCCAGAAATGCCAGAAAGTAAACCCTGGCCTGAAAGGTTTCCAAAGAAGAAAGGGACTGGCTCCGATGTCTTAGGTTTAAAACCCACAATGTACCTTGAGTCCAGGTCTGGGAATCCACTATTTCTTCTTGGTCCTTAGCCCTCGGATTTGCCTTTCATCAGAGGACCTCCTGTCCAGGAGCCTGTCCCCAGGGCCATGGGTTTAGTGGGAAGGGAAAGGCGTTCAAGGGGCCCAAAATGTTCCCTTAGTGGAGGAAGAAACATGTAAGTTCCAGAATGGTTTTTGCTCAGCCCCTGATGAGTATGTCCCTTCTCTCCCCGACATCCAGAAACATGAAGAACCAGGGTGTGGAGAAGAGGAAACTGATGAGGAGGAAGAAGTAGAGGAAGACGTGAGCTCCAGCAGCAGTGAGTCAGAGGACAGCGAAGAGGAAGAGGAGGAGGAAGGGATGGGCAAGGGCAGACACGGGCAGAGCGGAGCCAGGCACACCCAGCTGGAGTGGGACGACTCGGCCCTGCCCTACTAGCAGCCCGCTGCCTGCGCTCACTCACGTGTCCCTTTTGTAAGCCCCACCCGATGTACACCCGAGTCTATCACATGTCGCCTCTGATTCCTATGACAGGTCTGGGCAGGCCTCCTCCAGCCTCCTGGAAGCCACCCTTTATGCCTTGGGCACTCCCTGTGTCCCAGCCCTGGGGAGGGTCCAAGACTCCCAGGGTCGTCATTAGTGGGGACTTCCAGGGGGACTTTGTCCTATAGCCCCCCCACGTCTGCCTTGGGCTCACCCAGCATCCTGTCAGCCAGTCTGCAGAGTTCTGCCTGTGCAGGGGAGAAAGTCAGCCTTTATGTCACTCACCTTCCCCGGACTCCCTGTGCCCAGGGCCCTTGGGTTCCAGCTCACTGGGCGTGTACCTGCCCCCGTCTCCTCTTCCACACAGACCAGCAGATTCTCCTTCCCTGACTCTTCAGGTGGCTTCACATGGGCAAGGTGGTCAGACTTCACACACAAGAGATCTCCATTCTTAAAGGAAAGTCCTTGTTGAGGCAGAATTAATGTATAGGGAAAGGTTCACACACACGCATGCACACGCACTCATACACTCTCCCCAGTTTGGAGAGCCTTTCCCTTTGTCCTTTCTGACGCCACACAAGCTTAGATGAAAAGTCCAAAACCAAGAGGTCCTTGGCCACAGCAGAGTCTGGTCCCCAGCCAAAGCTGTCAGCCTGCCTTGGCTGCCACCACACAGCACAGGAACCAGGAAGCACTCCACAGAGGCACCGCCCCAGGCAACAGCGTGACAAGCCTGCAGCCAGGGACCAGAAGGAAGGGCGGATAGGATGAGCAGCTGGGCACCACGGCGGGCACAGATCTGGGGGATGGGGGTGGTGGGGTCTCCCCAGCCAGAGGCTGACAAGGCTTTCAGCATCTAGTCTTAGGGTACCTCATCACCGGTTTCACACTGTTTTACCTCTTGAGAAAATGCATCCCTCTCAGATGTGTTAGGACTATCATGAACTGTGCCGAATCTAAAATGAAAGTTTGAAGATTCGAATGCTAGGAATTAGGAGCATATCTGTGATAGGAACAGCTGCTGCTTTATTCTCATAAAAGGAGCAACGCTTTGGGTGGAGGGCAAATATATCTGAAAACCTAATTTCTTCTTGTTTTAATAAGAAAATCTTTTCCAACTCCATCCTAACATGCACACCTCATAAGAACTGTTGCTATGGTAACTTGTCTGTGCTCTTTTGTGACCAAGAGAATAGCAGGCAAAAACAGGGCCATTCTAGGACTTCCACAAGGCTCTGAGACCATCTTTGTTTTGAATGTCTCTGGCTTTGTCCTCTGTCTGTACAATCTGTCCCCGCCCTCCCCCAGCCCGTACTGGCACAGGCACAGAGCTGGCCCCTAGTCACAGTGGCATTCAGGTTCAAAAGAAAGTTGAGAATCTATTCATTCTACTCACCATGTCACCAAAACAGAGCTTAAGGGGGTCCACCATCAATGTCCTCTAGTTTGACCTCCATCCATGAGCAGTCCCTGCAACCTTCTGATTCAAGCAAACTACCTGATGCAGCTTTTCCCACCACTGATAGTGGTTTTTGCATATGTTTCCCTCCTTTGAGCCTCACCATAGTTCGGTCAGAGAGTTGGGACATCTATTGTCAGGCATATTTTGAGTAAACTGAGGTTCAGAGCTTCAGCACCTTGCTCAGAGTCATTTAGAGCTAGAGACAAGACCAGACTCCCCACCTTCTACTCTTGGTCCAGTGCCCACCCACCCCACTTCTACTTATATTCATATTTATACAGCTCACGGGCATTTCTGAGGACCTACTATGTGCTAAGCACTCAACCAGCAGCCCTACAAAATGCTAAAGCTGAGGAAGAGGAGTGCTTCCCCTCCGAGGATATAATCGTTGCAGAGGGGGACCCAACAGGCATAGAAATTATATGAAACAGACCCAGAGCTGGGAGAGAAGTCACAGGAGGAAGAGGCACACAATCAAACTGAATCAGTGCCCTAATTTTTCCCTTAGGGAAAAATGCAGGCAGAAGTTCGGGATTTTATATTCATTGAATGGAAACAGTCACTTCTGTGAATTCTCCCAACCAAAATGCCCTTTTCGTATCAGGCTGTGTCTGCACATCTACAAGGAGAAAATCTCTAACACTGCTTAGTCCCACCACTCCCTTGGTTAAATAAAAAAAGATTCTCCAGTTGGGCACTTAGGAGCTAACAATTCTCCCAAAATTATGGCAGTAAAACCAAATTTATGGTTCAAAACCCATTTTTTTTTGTTATTCGTAAGAAATTTATTTTTTAATGTTTCAAGTTTTTAAATTCTAGTAAATTAACATATAGTGTAATATTAGTTTCAGGAGAATTCAGTGATTCATCACTTACATATGACACCCAGTGTTCATCACAACCAGTTCTTTTTCAACTGAATTTCCATTTAAAATTATAGGTCTGGTTTTCATGAGAGCACCTTGCAAGAGTCCTTTTGGTTTGGTTGGGGTGGGAAGGGGTTCCTCATGCCCTCTGGCTATCTCCAATGGCTGCATCACTTATTCATGGTTGAGTGGCCTATTTGGAGCATAATTTGGGGAGGGTATTGGGGGATCAGATAAAAGTGGCACTTGGCTAAGGACACAGGGTTGAATCATTTGTGACTAGATTGATGTAGAGAAATAATGGAAACAAGTCAGGACCCTCTCCATCAACTCCTGTTGTGCGAAGTCAGACTGCATGTCAGCTCCACAAACGAAGCATAATAATACTGCTGGGTCAATGGGCATTTATCATGTTCCCAACACCCTACTCAACAAGAAGGAGTGGTTATATAAAAGTAGAAGCTTCAGGGACTATTCAGGTGAGTGGCGAGTAATGTAAGTTACCCTCCACCAGATATTCTAATGTGTGAAAAAGGTCATTAATCAGCCCAGCATTTTCCAGGTTCCATATGCTGGTATCTGGGAACCAGAACTCCCAGATGGCCCAGACACCGTGTGGCCTCTCATCCAGACATCAGAAGCAGCAGATGCAGGCTCATACCCCAGAGGAACAGCTGACCAGGTTGGCCAAAGGCCAGACCATTGCTTATCTTGCCAAGAAGATGACCAGATTCTGCTCTCTGGAGCTGGAAAATAGATAGGCTGAAACCTCTCAAGTGATTCGGGTGACAGGGAGGAAGAGGAAGACAAGGTTGAAATGGAAAAGGCCAGTATAGAATGAGCTGCCCAATGGAGTAAAGCAATCAACTAGTTGGTCACCTGTCTTAAAGAATACCAAAAGTATATTCTAGTAGGTTAATCAAATGCTTTAAATCTGACCAAGGCCCAAACTTATGTAGATAACAAAAATGTAATTTGAGCGGGATCTTATTTCATTACCACTTTCTTGAATGTTCTCAATCATCCTATCAAGCAGGGTTTAGACCACACATCTCTGCAGGTAGCAAGAGCTGTACCTTGTGGACGCAGACCCTCTAGGGAGAGGGCTCCTGGTGGGAAGCAATGTCCTCCAGGCCTGTACATACAGCAGATGTCAGCAAATTTTATCTATAAAGAGCCAGACAGTAAATATTTGGGGCTTTGCAGGCCATATGGTCTCTATTGCAAGTATTCAAATCTGCCACTGTAGCATGAAACAAACCACAGACAATACATAAATGAATGGATACGGCTAATGTTCCAAAAAAAATTATTTATGAATACTAAAAAAGCAAATTGAATTCATATATTTTCATATGTCATGAAATTTTATTACTTTTTGATTTTTACTTTTTGACCATTTAAAAAATTAAAAAACTCTTCTGAGCCCATGGGCCATACAAAATCCAGCAGCCTGCCAGATTTGGCCTATAGGTCATAGTATAAACACCTCTACCATACGTTCAAGGAAAGCAGCCTTCCCATTTACCAAGGGAAAGTAGATTGCTATCTTAGACCCTTCCTTCAACTACCCAGGGGTCTTTGCCTCCAAAATGAACAACAACTCCATAGTCCTTAGTTAGGCTCTTTTAAATGTCCATGTCCCAGCAAGAAAATGACAACAAAAAACACCTGGTTCTGGTCAAATTGACTTGGACACAGGCAAGCAGTCATGCAGAATGCCAAGCCCTGGCTATAGGAACTGTAACCACTGAGCGCCAACCGGCTTGAGCTCAGGGGCAACTCCCAGACCCAGAGCCTTCCCAGCACAACTCAGCCCATAATGATTTCTAAGCGGGGGTGTTCATTATCTGACTGATTTCCATTTCAGCCCCGTTCATGCCATTGCTCTAAAAATGATCCTGAAGACTTCTGACTGTTTAAATCAATAGCAACATAATCAGTAGAAAGCCCTACCCAGCACATTTCAAAATTAGCAGTCTTTATGGCTCTATGATTCAATATTAGCAAGAGGAAAAGAGGACTTTTTCTTAACCATCCTCTCATTGAAATTAACCAAATCAGTTTTACAAAAAAAGTGAGGGAGTGAGTTTAATTCTTTGAAAGAATTTACAAGTGAAAAGTAGATGATTTTCAGGTAAGATCATTCTCAGGCCTTTGGGGGATCCTCCAAGCCCCTGCAAAATACTCTGGAGGGCTACGGATGGTACAGGATCCTCTATCTGCATCAGACTTTTATCAAGGCTGACAAGCCAAAGCCCTTGGCACAATTTTTATATAATCACTTTCTGCTGCCCAGCTGTAGGCAAAGGAAATGAACAGTGAAAGTCTTGAAGTCTACTCCAGTACCTTCATTTCCCTGCCTTTATTTTATTTTATATATTTATTCTGTACCTACTTGATAGATCTTGTTCTAGTTTTCTTTATGATGCCAACTACAAAGGAGAGTTGGCTTTACAAGGGCTATAGATTAGAAGTCAAACTTGACTCTACCCCAAGACAACACAAAGAGACACAAGAAGTACCTCCACCAGCACCCCAGAAAGCAATCAAACATTCCCTGGATGCCATTAGTGAACAGATGGGATTCTGTGTTTGTAGCTACGTTCAATGTAATTCAGCAAATCCTTGCTGAGTGCCCATGGTGTGCCAGGCCCTGTGCCAGAAACGGGGGAAAGGTGGATGACTGAGGTGTGGCCCTGCCCAGGCGGGTCTCCCGGGCTCATGAGCTGTTGGCATGCTTCCTTTACGGTGTTGGAGGCTGTCTGAGAGCAGTTGGGACAGGTGTAGGCAGAAGTTTAGAGTTGAGGGAGGTGGGTAACTTGCTTTGGCAATTCTCCACCCTAAGTCAGATGGCAGGTGTGATTCTGGGAGCCCTCAAACACATTGCCAAGGTCAAAAGAGGAGAGCCCTGGGGAAGCAGGCAATGCTTCCCTAGATGTTTCTAATTCTGCCCCAGCCCAACCCAGGTCACTTATGGATGAAAGCCAGTCACCCTGCCTACAAGGTGAGTATCACATGGCTGAAGACTGAGATTCAGTGAAACTAGGCCAAAGGAAGTTCTTCAGTATGAAGAGCAGGCAGGCAGACCTGGAAAGTAAGCCAGGTACAGGGGCCTCCATGTGCCAAGTTCCAAAGACATGAAAAGTCTGATGTGAGGGTGCACCCCTGAGGCCTAAAGTCAGAGCTGAGGAGAGAAGAAGGGCTCTGACTTTGTAGGACCTGCTAAGGGGCCACAGGACACTAGAGAGCAGAGGTTCTTAAGGTGCATCCCTGGGCCAGAGCATCACCTGGGGATGAGTGAGAAATGCAAATTCTTGGGATCCACCCAAGAGCTACTGAATCAGAAACCAGGGTGGGGCCCGGCAGTGTGTGTTTTAAGGCTCTCTAATCCTGATGCACTCTAAGGTTTGGAAACCACTGATGTAGAGAATGAGAGTGACTTTCACTGGCCCTGGGAGGAGAGGATTAATAGGATAAGAAAGTCCATTACTAGTGTAGAAGAGAGGGGGTCAAAGCAGAGCTCCCCATGAACCGTCCAGGGCCCTCCAGACTCTCTCTAGTCCATACTCCCTGAAGCAGTGATTTCAAGGAACTTTGGGCCTAGTCCCAACTTCATTCCTCCCCTGGGGCAGGAGCCACCTCCTGCTGGTCTGGCCCCTTTCATCCTAGAGACAAACACAGTCCAGGGGAGGCTGTAGTGAGGCTACCCATCCCTAGGGAGGCTGCCTTCCAGATTCCCATTGATGAGCAGCCTCCTGAAGGGCCATATTTTAGGGGAAATGATTAAACTGTAGCAGTGTCCCTACATCAGCAGGAGAACTGGTCCCCACACAGCATGTATGCTGTGGAGCCATCAGGGCCTACAGACAGTGGAGTGGGGCCATCTAAGGGCTGGAAGGGAACACAGACACATGGCCTTGGAGAGCTCATGCCTGCTGTTCAGTTCCTAAGAATCCAGTTCCCTCTTGATTAGAGGCATATTCCTGGTCCTATCTGCCCCGGCCTTGCTGAGTTCTCCCCCAAATGCCCTAAAGGATACCTCCATTTCTCCAGCCCAGTTTATGAAAAGGTCTTCTGATTAAATGCCCAACCAATCCCCTGAGAACACAGTGACTATATCAAGAACCACCATCTCCAACACATTAGATTATGCTAAGAAGAACCAACAGAGTTTACCAGTTGTTTGTGAGAAGCATGGGAGAGAGCAGACCCAAGAAGGGGAAGGAAAGTTTCTTCATGTTTGTGTCACTTCAGTCCAGAATAACTTTCTTTATAGCCTGGCCTCTCTTTGTGAATTCTCTGATGTGACATCTCTTTCCCAAGACCTTAAGACAATTTTGTTTCCCTGAAGTTAAGTCACTTATTGCAAAGCCCCCCATGGGACAAAAGGACAAGGAATGGCATGATAGGACATAGGTGGAGAGCCTCAGACAGTTCTGGGAGCAGGATGGGCTCTGTTCCCATTGGCAAGCTTAGATCTGTGTCCAGTCAGAAGTCTCGGCAGCTCCAATATAGCCAGGACACGAGGCAGAGAGAGGGAGTAGGAGGGGCATTTACTGGGAAGACTGGGCACAGAGGAGACACCCAAGGTGTGTCACTGTGCAGGCCACACCAGCCATTCACATTTGTCAGAAACAGGAGAACTGTGTCCCAACATCAACTAGTCCCTCCCATTCTGAGCAGTGGAGAGGAACTGCTACCTCTGGACCATGGAGGTGATACATCTCCAGAGTCCGGGACCCATTCCATGAGAACTGGCCGTTGAATGAAATGGAACCACAGTGCTCAAGCACCCACTGGGGACCCTGACCAGGCCCCAGAAAACATGGCTGTGTGAGGCTGATGGCCCCTCAGCTCCTGCTGCCTCTGCTGTCACAGGCTCCCTCGTCAAGGCAAGAGTCACTCACCTACCCCAGCGCCGTGGGTGACTAGTACAGCACCTGGCCCACAGCACGGGCTTGGTAAGTGGTGAATTAAACAGAATACCAGAGATCACCTGACCTCAGCAAATGGACAGGATGCGAAAAATTAAGATGCTTCAAAAAAAAAAAGACTCCACCATCATTTCTCTTAATATATAGGTCGGAATCCTTCATAAAATCAGAGCAAGGAGGAGTGGAAGTACATAGAGGGGCAGAAGAACAGGAATGGGGTTGTTGGATAGTGGCCCCTTCCTATCTATAACAGTAAAAGTTGCCCCTAAGCACGGAGCAGTTGGAGGGGCCTTGATAAGCCCACTTGCTCCATCCTCTAGGTCCTGGGCAACGTCCTGAGAGGGGGTCCTCTGCAGCCCCTTTTACCAGATTCGCTGCAGAGGTCTGTCAAGGTGAAGCTCAACCCCCAACAGACATAAGAAAAGAGAACAACAGACGTGAGAAGAGCCAAAACGCAGATGGTGTATATTAATCCCAGGTGAAAGAAATGTGCTGGCTTTAACATTTGTTCGCTTTTATCTTGAAATGAAAATGCATCTCTGCTGCCCAGACCCTTTTCTGAGCATTTCAGAACAGAAATGGGACACACACACTCACTCATGGTAAGGGTTCTTTCCCCAGCAGAAAAAGCTATCGGAGAAAGGAGCCCACAGGTTGTGTCTATGTGCAGGAGCAGATAACCAACCACAGGTCCCAGCTAGAGTCCAGCCCTGTGAAAAAGGGAAGGGAAAGGCCAGGAAACAGCTGTCCTTAGGAAGGGTTCGTTAGGGCCTCTGTGACAAAGGGCTCCACTTGGGCCTGTGGGTCACAGAGAGGAATATGATGTGCACACCCCTGCAGACAAAAGTCCGTCCATCCTGGGCAATGTGGAACACACCCCCAGCTCCTCCCTCCGCTGCAAAGGAGCCGCCAATGTGTAGGATTCGGAAGAGGCCACGTACATCTTCACTTGTACACTTCAAATGGTGGAAATAAGGCAAATGCTTTTCGGAGATTAGGAAGTTAGACCTGATACCCAGGGCTGATCACTCAAAAGGCAAAGAGAGAGAGATTGAGGGGAAAGCAGACTCAGAGTTAGAGAGGGAACAGGCAAGGCTGGAGAAGAGTGACAGAACACGAACGTGCTCACCCAGGAAGCCAGAGCATTGCTCTCAACTGAAAGCTCTATCCAAGTTTCAGCAAACTATGGGGAAGCCTGGCCCTGTGACCCAGGGGCAGTCAAATCCATGCCTCCAAACTCAGCCCTGTTTGAAGGTGATTTCATTCTTAACTAGTCATGATGGATCAATCCACCTGATTGCTTCCAGCCTGACCTTGGTGGCTTCCAAAAAAGTTGTTGGTGCCCTGAGCTGGACAGCTTGGAAGGAAATTGAAGAAAACCAGCTGGCGAATAAGAAAAGAAACTGCATGTAGAAGATGGTTGTTTTTAAAGAAATCTGTAGGTATTAAGAGTCAGGTGTGTTATGTTGTTGGCATGGGCATTATAAATGTCAAGGAGGTAAGATTCAGAATGACTTGGTGGGGTACTCGTTTGGAAAATTAGTTTATGTGTTAAAGATAAGTTATGAGAAACAAATAGGCTAAGGACAGCGATTTATGTGTGCCATATACATCTATATAGACATCTATATATATATAGACATAAAATACAGAAATGAGTCAGATATAAAGATGTCAATGATCCCAACACATTTTCAATTCCTTAGAAGTGCAGGTTTGGATGTTACACTTTTTCTTATTGTCCTCACTTACTTTTAGCTCTCAAAGCACTGGGAACAGTGCCTGGCACATAGTAGGAGTTTGGTAAGCACTGGGAAATGGAAGGTCCAGCTTGTCACTACATGGTAAACACTCAGTACTCGCTATACATCAAATTAAATGAGCCATAGGGAAGCAGGTCAGCCACATCCCCCTCCTAGATCATCACAACCCAGCTAAGGAGAGGCCTTCCTGAACTGACCGATTCAGAGCAATGTCCAGCCAGCTGCAGGCACTGGGGCTGGCTCTTGCCAGGATGCTGTACATAGTGGGTATCACTTAGGATGCTACACATAGTGGGTTTGTATCACTTAGACAGGATTCTCTGCAAATAGTGGGTCTGTATCACTTAGACCTTATCTGCATAACACCTAACAAGCTATTTCTACAGGGAATAGGGCTGGGGGCTCTCCTCCTATTGCATCTGACATTTCCTAAACACTTGGTGCAATGCTGTGGAGTTCTGCCAACTTCGGGCACAATTTGAGAACTAAATGTAATGATTCTGGGCTCAGCCAGTCTAAGAGGTTTAGTGATTTCTTCTCTCAGCCCTTCCCATCATCCATATCTGGAGATGCCACCTCAAGGGGTAGGCCAGTGTGTGCCTGACGCATGTCAGACTTCTGAGTTCTTCCAGCTGCCTCAAACAAATAAATCCTTTTAGTCTAGAAAATGTGTTTATTTGCTAAATATACTATTGTGTATGATGTCAAACAATGCAAACTTTGGACTATCTTGTTAGGAGGACTGTATGCATTTATATAATTTAATTTCAGGAGAGCATGTTGTCATCTTGCTCAGTGAATGAGGATGCACAATCAAAGATGATCAGAAAAAATGCCCCCTCCCCTCCCCACACCTCTCAGCCCCACCCCTCATGGAGCCCCTGCCTATTTTGAGCTGTCCTGTCCACTCCAGGCTGATGCAGAGTGAAGGGCGCTGAGAATCGCCATGTATATAAAGCTATAGGAAGAAAATAAGAACCACCACAGGAATCTGTTGGGCTTCTTCCCATAACTGTGATTTTACCCATGTTTCAGTCACAAACTTTAAATTTCTAACAATTAAGATTCTTGCAGTTTCCAAGTAATTTGTTAAATGCCTATTCGACACAGACAGATATTTATTTTCAGCCTTGACTTGTAAATGCCTACAAACTGATTCATGCTGGTGGTCGTTACGACACTTCCTGTGAATTGGTGAATAAATATGATTTTAGAATTTCACAGTAAAGATGACCTCTGAGAGTTTTTATCCTTCAGACTATTTGATGAGGTGAGGCGCTGAGAACTGCTTAGCTGGGTCAACATTCTCTGGAGCTCCGTCCTAAATCCTTGTGTGTGGAAGACAGGGGTGTGGGACCCGAGAAATGGTGACATGGCGAGCTGGGCCCCCATGAGGCCTTCATCGGGGCACCCTGTTATATACCCAGAACACAACTCGGCAGCCTTGTTACTGGAGACCAGTACTAAGACAAGTCTCATGTACTTCCTGAGGGCCTACAAAGTGCTGGAGCCTTACATGTCTGGTCTTAATTCTTGAAGCAGGCAGTTGTCAGTAGTAACGTGAAGGTGAGATTCAGAGGATCTATGGGCATTGCCAGAGGGCAGGTGGGACCGAGCACAGCTCTGGCTCTCTCCTAGCCCGTTCTTTCCTGCCCCTCCATGCTGACCTTTCCTCACACCCAGGTGCCACCCTGCAGCCCACCGAGGATGGGCTCCCCTCCCCACCCAGAGCTGGTCGAGATCCAGAGCACTTCCCTAGGTCCTGTGAGTTACAGTTACAACTGTCTTTCCCTCCTGTTTCATACTGACCAGACCCAGGGGTGAAGGCTTCCCTTTGGTCAGAGAGAAGGGGGAAAAGCTCAAAAACACTTTTAAGTGCTGGGGTCATAAGAGGCGCCACGTTGCACATGACACGGCAACCAGCGTGTACCACAAAAGGCACTGTCGTCTGCTCAACCCCCTCTGACTACCCTCTGCCAGCCATGTGCCATCTACCTGCCCCACCCGTCTCTGTCCTCCCCTGCTCTCCTCCCTCCTCACACTTCTCAGAAGTAAGAGACAGCCTCCTTTCTTTTTCTCTTTGAAGAGCAGCTTTGTCACCTTTTCCTCATTCCCTGGTGTCCTGCCAAAATCCATGCCTGTCCTTCTGCCCCAAGCAGTTCACCATATACATATTCTCCCAAATACAGATCACTCACATCCTAAGAGGAGTTCTTCCGCCGGATGTTAGGACAGCATGTTTATCACGTCGAACCTTATCTTTGTATTACATCTCAGAGAGCCAGCAAGGAGCCTAGGTCTGTTTGTCCTTCCATCTTCACTTTGGTCACACACACACACACACACACACACACACACACACACACACACACCCCACCCCACCCCACCGCATCCCTTCCCCTCACACCCCATCCTTGGGCTTCCCTGGAGCCCAGTGTAGCAGCTCACTACCACAGCCCCGACCTCCTCCCTCCCTTTTGCCCCAAGCAATCTGGCCCCTGTTCTTGGGTCTGATAGATTCTCCATCTTCTGTCTGTGCTACTCCCTCTCGTCTCTTTCAAAAGCATCTCCTCATCCCTCAGCACCACAGTGTCTGCTGCTGGCTTCCATCCTCAGACGCTGTGCCTGCCAGGAGACCACACTGCTGAAGCTCCTTGGGAGGTGGCCTCCCAGGCTGACAGGCCACAGAGACTTCTAGGAACCTACCCTTTGTACACAAGGCCCTGGAGCTCTAGGGGCTCCGCATCCTCGCAGGTAAATGAACTCCATTCTCTAAACTTAAAGAGTCCTGGTTTATCAGGCCTGAGTACAGGGCTTCATACTGGGTTAACCTGATAGAGGGTCCAATGCAAAAACTTATACACACCAACAAAAACCAGCTTCTAAACTACCAAACTATGGATAAAAGTCTCAGGCAGAGGCTTCATCTCAATCATACCTGTATTCAAACTCTAGTGCAGAGCCCAGGATGGAAAGGGCTCAGAGAGAATTAAGTAAACCGAACTGAATTAAACCTCAAGTCCAAGGTCCTCAATGACCTGGCTCAACCTGTTTTCATCCTCGTATTTCCCAGTTGCCCAACATGAGTCCCATGTCTTGGTGTTCCCAAACACACGGTGAGTGTTCCCACCTCCATGCTGTTGTTCCTGTGGCTCCCACTCCCTGGAATGCCATCCCTCCTCCCGTATCTCAGACCATGGAAATCTTACCCCTCACAGGAGTTCCCACTCCCAAGCTCTGGTGTTATCTGTCAGTGATGCCATCCTTGATTTTCCCAGTGGAGTATGATCCTACCATCCTCTGCACCCCCAGAGCGGGTCCTGATGTACTGGGAAGTGCCCCACGTGGACGGTGAGGGGAACAGGTCATGAGATGTGGTGTTCTAGGCCAAATTCAAATGCCTGCAGAGGTAAGGCAGGTAGTATAAGCATGACTACCTAGATGGGGCCTCCAGTGAAGAGAAAAATGCATGCCACCTCCAGAGCGGAAACCGCCTCTCTTCTCCAGCCAATTGTGTCAATGCAAGAATGACTGCCAATTTTGCCAGATTTTCTGATTTTTTTTTTCAAGAGAGTTCTTAACAAGCCCTAATACATTATATATAAATATGTAATCAATATGGCATATAGTAATATAGCGTATATTTTGTAATTATAATTATATACTGTATAATTATGTATTATGCATAACTAAATTTCAAAGTTATAATTATTACATACTATTAAAAATTATATATACACACACACATACATACTGTTAATACACTGATAGCAATACTGGTACTACATATATATATATATATATATATATATTTTTTTTTTTAAGATTTATTTATTTTACAGAGAGAGAGAACATGTGAGCATGAGTGGGAGGGGCAGGGGGAGAGGGAGAGAGAGAATCTCAAGCAGACTCCACACTGAGCACAGAGCCCAACACAGGGTTCGATATCACAACGCTGAGATCATGACCGGAGCCGAAACCAAGACTCAGACGCTCAACTGACTGCACCACCCAGGTGCCCTGTACCACATATATTTCTCAAACCAGTTTGACTATGGAACCCTTTACTTCATAAGGTATCTTCAGCTGAGATAAGGGCCTGAAGCTGAGGCCCAGAGTTCTTCCATTTGTTAGTGCCTCACTGGGAAACCATCCTGAACCAACAATTAATTTCATCCTAGATACGACTTCTCTGCAGAGACTTCCATATGTGCCTATGGAGGTCACACCAGGATGCTCTGTGCACACAAGCCTCACAGCCTTGGCTCCCAGGACCCATGAGCACTACCCTCTGACCACACTCAGAGCCCTCAGCCAGTTCTCTTTTCCCTACACAACAGGGAGGTAGCCCCAGAAGCTCTCTATGAATTGACCTTGACTTCCCTTCCTCAAGGCCACAATGTCAAACCATTACGCCCATTCCACCCTTCACTTCATCAGTCTTTACCCTTCTAATCACCAGAAACATTTACAGTCATTTAATAACTGCAAAATCATGTCATGCGTGCCTACTGTTTTCTTGGGACTTATATAAACACCACACATATGTACACACACACATACACGTAGCTGCAAATACCCCTATGCACACGTATACATATCTATGGCCTTCTATTTTCATGATACCTTCGTAAAACCACTTACTAGTCATGGCACCACTGCTGTGGCAATCTCCCTGAGCTTTCCTTTCCTTGTTTATAAAATGGTAATAATGGTACCTCTCTTAAAAGACGCTTGCAATAATTAAGTCAGGTCATTTCTGTGAAGTATCTGCTACAATGTCCAGCCCTTTAGGCATTCACTAAATAATTACTATCGCAGCTATGACCACTACTTTTCCAGCATCCCCTAGCAATAGATAATGGGGTCACCCCCTCATTCGTTCAGTCCTTCCTCAGGCACTTACTCCTTAATTCATTCAATGGTTCTGAGATCTAGCCTGGACAACATTCCCCATGGGTGACCTCTTCTTTATCTTCTCAGTGTAGGCATTTGCAGAAAAGGGGGGAAGGGAAAGAGTGGAGAGAGGTACAAAGACTGACTAAGCAATTGGACCAGGCACTTCCACGGTATATTCTAATGCAATCCTTCCAGCAATCCCATGTGGCAAGCATCCTCATCCCCATTTTATAAATGAAGGAACTGAGTTCGGAGAGATTAGGTCTCGTCAAGGTCACCCTGCAGGTGAGTGGCAGAGCCCAGATTCCTTCATAGATGTGGTATTCGGAATACCGTGCTAGTGCTGCTGAACCAAGTGTCTGCCCACACTGCTAGGGAATAACCAGCCTTAAGAGTGAAATGTTGCCTCTGAAAAGGCAGAGTACGCAGGTGCCAGAGCCCAGTGATGAAGGCAGTTTTCCTTTTTAGCACCTTGGGCTACCACCAGTCCCAAAGCACACACCAGATAGGAACTGAGAAGTCCTGGTTAGACAGCTACAGTTCCAAAAATAAAATTGGGTGTTAAAAAAATATAAGCCAGAGAGAGTCTAAAAACCAGCAGGAGAGCAAACTATTTAGAAATACACACTCAGAGACATGGACAAATGGGTCTCCTCTCCCAGAGCAGTAATACAAGAAAGCCATCCCCATGGTCTCTGTTGACTTCTATGTCCTGGAATCTATGACAATCCTGGAGACATGGAGAAACTTGGAGTCCTCATTTATTTGTCTATTCATCGTCCAAAGACGTTCCAAAACTCCTTATTCAGTGCTTCCTGTGCGCCAAATGCTGTGCTAGGCACTGAGGACACCAGCAGCACCAGCTTCCCACCCTCACTGAATGTAGTCTAGTGGAGGACACAAGTAATTATTAAATAACTTCACAAATAAGTCTGCAATTGCACTTATTAGGAGCTCTGCAAAGGAAGCCTCTCTGGAGCTATGAGTATCTATCATAGGGTGAATTGCCATTATCAGGAAGGCCAAAGTTCCCTAAAGTGATGATTAAGATGAGAGAAGAGAGAGAAAGGGGAAGTGTATCAGTAAAGCTTCTTAGCTGCAGATGAGAAAGTCACCTTTAGATAGTCAAAAGCAGCAGGTATTTAGGAACAGGATCATTGGGAAGACTAGAGAATCTAAGCTTCCAGAAACATCTCCCAGCAGTGCCTTCTCTAGCAGAAATGAACCATCACATGGGTATGGATATGGGCTACAGATCTGGAAGGATCCCTACCTTGCTTTCCTCTCTCTGTTTCTTCCCCTACAACTTTCACTCCGAAACTCTTCCTATGATTCAAACTCCTGAAACATAGTGTCTCAGCCAGGATCCCACTTGATGGAGAATCAGTGAGTATGTACAAATGCGCTCAGATTTTGTCAATCAAATTTGTGCTACTCCCCCTGTTCAAAATCCACCAAGAGAGTTCCATGACCTCAAAGTAAAGTGATGCCTATGTCATGGCTCATGATACTGGTACTGAGTTGGCCACAACCTAAATATAACAGTTCTCCCTGTGTAGAATTCTGCATTCCAGAGCTCATCAACATGGTCATCACACTTCACTAAGCATGGAGTAAGGCTGCAGGAAGTGAGAAATGATGCCAAAGAGAAGGCTACTTTCTGAAAAATGCAGCTACTTATCTGCAATGCTGATGACGGACAGCCAAAAGTCTTCTCAGACATGTTTAAAAAAGTGAAAAACAACATTGTGTACTTTCCTTCTGTTAATAAATGATAAAGTAACTTTTCACTTTATAAAAATATGTCAAGTCTGTCACTTGGTAGGAGAGCACTTTGATTAAAAAGGCCCTCTGGTGCAATCTATCTCTTAACAATAGCCAGAAGGTTATCATAAAAGCCTAGTTCTAATAGGTTTTGACTAAAACACAACTTGAAGCATGCTTCTTTCTGACATAAGGTGCCTCTGACTTTGGCTGTGTTTGACAGAGGGGCAGTGGGACAGCCTACTCACTGCCAGGAAACTCTGACAAGGCTTTTCAGAGATGGGCAACCTATGTGTATGGCCAGCATGCCTGCACGAGTTTTCTTGCTACATTTTTCAACTTGTTCATTTAAGAAAAGACAAAATATGATGTCTAGGCTCAAGGATAAAGGTGGTATCAGTGAGGTGCATTGGGAGAATATCCACTTCCAGCTGAGAAAATTACTTTAAAGTAACAGTTTCAGAACTGTGTGCTGGGAGCTTAGGAAGATGGCAGATTAGGAGGACCCCAAGCTCACCCCGGCCCACATTTAGATATCACTCACATCCATGTAAATAAACCAGAGAGTGACCCGAAGACTGGCAGAACAAACTCCACGACTAAATGTAGAGAAGAGCTGCATCTGAGAGGTTACAAAGGGCAAATGCAATCAAGAGCTGCCCATAGGAGGGAGGGAGCTGTGGGCACAGGGAGAGCCCACACGAAGAAGACAAATCCCCATAACATCTTGCTTTGAAAACCAAAGGGGCTGAATTCCCTGACTTTGTATAACAGCGGAACTTGGAGCCTATACCTTAAAAGTCGGCTGACTCAGCACTCGGCAGGATAGCTGGTCCCGACCCTTAACGAGACAATAGCCCAAGGAGAGGCAACACAGAAGCAAGTATTTGCATGACACCTGGGGCAAATGGAAGGAAGATCTGTTTTTTCCAATTTTAGAGCATGTTGTGGGAACAAAGGAGCTGGGAGGCACCATTTTCCTCCCCGACCCCCAGCACAAACACAGGGCCACCTTTGGGAGGCAGCACTGCACAACAGACACGTGCTATCTAACCTGCTAGCAATGTGCCCTACCCATGTATTCTCCTGAGGACTCACCCACTCCAAGCCTTCTGGCCTCGGCAGTGAGCTCACTGAAAATTTTGCTAACACTGAGCATGCACCCTGCCCAGGCACTGCACACAGGCACCGCTGCAAGCCACGCCTCCTACCGTTGCCACTGCCCACTGCACCCCCAGCTACTGCCACCCCCGCCTCTTGCTGTGCCCCTGGCAGCCACTGTGCTTCAAGGACCCAGCCCTGGACTAGCATCTCAGTGCAAATTCTGTTACCACCATCCCACTCCCAAGCTCTCCTGTAGTCACGCCCCTTCAGAGCCAGCCTGCATGGGTCTCATTAACAGCAGAGAGAGCAAGCACAGCCCCCAACAGGCAGACAGTCAATGCAGACATCTAGACTTAGAAGAAAAGTGACTCAGACACAACAGCAGGATACAAGCAACACTCACAGGAGACTCCCCTGAAGCACCAGGTTCTGGTGAACAGGGGACATCACACTGGAGGGCATAGGACCTCTTCTTTGTAAAGCCAGTACTTTCAAAAGCAGATGACATAACTGACTTTTCCAATACACAGAAACAGACTCAGAGAGGCAGACAAAATGAGGAGACAGAGGAATATGTCCCAAATGAAAGAACAAGACAAAATTACAGCAGGAGATCTAAGCAAAACAGAAATAA